CGTCGACGACGAGCGGCGGCCGTTGCTGCCGCCGCGCAAGGCCGTGGAGACGCGGATGCTGAACATCTGGAAGAAGACGAAGAAGGAGGCGCGCGACGCGGCGCAGAATAGCGCTGCTCGCGACGTCGCTCGCGCCGCCCGTGCGGCGGGCGTCGCCGCCGTCGACGACGACGAGGTGCCGAGCAGCGACGACGACGCGGACGATCCCATGGAGATGGACACGTCTCCCGACGGCGACGCCAACGCCGACGGCGGCGCCGACGGCGGCGCCGACGCCGCGAACGACGACCCGACCGACGGCTACATGGCCCAGTTAGCCGGCGTCGGCGTCCGCGAGCTCCGCCGACGGCTCCGCGAGGAGCGCGGCGACTCGACGCCGCTCGCGTCCGTCCGCGCCGCGGACCTCGCACCGAGCGACCTCCGGACCGGCGAATCGAAGGCGCAGGCCACGCTGGACCTCCTGCGCCAGCGCCTCGCGACGGTCCTCGCCGGTGGCTCCCCCTGAGGTGGCGCGTCGTGCGGCGACGTCCGCGGCGGCCGTTCCGCAGCCGCGCGCGCGCCCACCTCATCCGAGACGACTAAATTTGCCATTTATGAGCGCCAATGGCCTCCACAACGGTCCGTGGTCGTCGGACAGACGTCGGCGCGACCGCCCGCGACGAATTCGCGCGCAGGCGTCCGGTTTCAAATGACGTCCTTTAATGCATGATCTACCAGCAAGTTGCCTCTCTCTCTCTATCTCTCTATCTCAATGACTATACTAGACTACAGTACGCTACTACTATCATGCTAGTACTGTACATACCTACCCTAGTTAGGCTCTCTTTCCCGCCCCTCCTTTATAATCAGTTACTATATGGTGACTGCGCTACCGTAAGGTAGCACACTGAGCTTCCCCTCTCACTCACTTTCACTTTTCTTCTCCTGCTACTACGGACTGTACCTTAACGTCAAGTTGATGTACGGAACTTAGGTTCATCACAGGTATGGGCCGGGCGCGTGCTTTAGCGCGCCCTTCCCACTCGTGCGAGAGACTACTCATGTGTCTGCGTGTACCAGGGGGTGCTTGTCACACCTGTCCTTAATTGTGAGCCTGGTATACGTACACACATAAAAATAACTGTCGGCTATGGCTGACGCCCAAACATTCGAAGCTCCGAAACCGGCTCGTCCTGGCGAAGGCCACGATGCTGGTCTTCATCTACCAGAACATCCGCGCGATCCGCAAGATCCTGAAGAAGCCGCTGGATCATCGAGCTTGCTTGGATACGACCATAACTTTTTTGAACCCAATTTTGGCCGTGATGTCAGCCCGCGGACCTCCGCGACACCGCGCCCGCGCGCGCGGTCGACGCACAGCCTCTATGGAGGACTAATGACTCTGGCTCCGCCGGCCGGAATTCGATGATTGGTCTTTCTTTATTAATTAATTTCATGGGTTGCACCTAATGTACGTTGATCGCTTCACTGGCAGGCTCCTGCTTGACTCTGGTGAAGCCAAGATCGCGAAAATGGTCAAGCTCCTCCTTTCCCTCTTACTGATTGCGCCCGCGGCTGCATTTCTGTCGACGTCATCGCATGCCCGGGGCTCGCACACTCAGGTCTTTGGTTGAATATAGCCTAAGCCTCAAAGCTGTGCTCCTAGGTCTCCGAGACTAAGGATGATCTTGCTGTTCTCGCAGGCGAGCTCAATCCAGTGGTTGGCTTTTGGTAAACCCCCGTCCCGCCACCCCGACACTCTACACCCGACCGTCCGACCATTCCACGGGAAGACACAATGCTTTCAGGGATCCTCTTGGCTGCCTGAACCTCGACTTCTGGCAACTTGGGACCGAGGGCACAATCGGGTACCTCCGCCACGCGGAGATAAAGCATGGCCGCGTCGCGATGGCCGGTTTCCTTGGCTATCTAGTGCAGTCCACCGATTTCGTCTCTGGACCGCATTGAATCAGCGTCCATAGCATCAAATTTCTCCTCGGAACCCGCCCGCGGCAGGCATAATAATCTACCTTTCCCGGGTTACGAGGCGGGCCTCACCCCCCCCGAGCAGTGGGACGCCATACCACTCTGGGGCAAGATCCAGATTGTCACCTTTGTTGGCATGCTCGAGTCCTATGGTGAATTACTCCCTGTTCACTACACAAAGGGCGGTGTCCCTGGCTACTACCCACCCATCAAAGGCAACCGTCCCGAACTCGTACTCAATCTCTACGACCCCTTCAACTTCTTCTCGCGTATGACCCCAGAGGCTAAAGAAGCTGGCCTCGTGAAGGAGATTAACAACGGCCGCCTTGCGATGATTGGCCTTTTCTCCTTCCTTGCCGAAGCCCGAGTTCCGGGTTCGGTACCTGTCCTTACGGGCATCATTCCTCCATACAACGGGAACATCATGATTCCCTTCGAAGGCGACTTCTCCTTCTTTGGCTAGGAGCGGCTGGCCACCACCTTGCACGAGTGCAGACGAAGCTCAACACCGCACACTAAGCCCCGGGTGCGCGACCAAGGCCGAAAACAAGGGCTGGGCGCGCCCATAGAAGTATTTATTCATTATTTGCGGCCGCCGGCCGTAGTATGTCATAGGGGTTCTCGCCCGCGGGAAACTCGACGCGTTCTAGTTTGGGCCCCGCCCACCCCCCCGGCGCCTGAGTAAAGCCCCCAGCTGCCGACCCAAAATTATCGGGGTCGTTTCGGGTCCCTTGGGGTCCCCTCCAGCGCAGGGGGGGGGTTCTGGGCGAGGTTTTGCCGCCGGGGGCGGCCGCGGAGCCCCGGGGCCTACTAGAACAAACTAGAACGGTTCTAGTTCCAGTATAGGGCTCCGGGTGATGGGAGTTTCTAGCCACGATGCGAGACACAGTTACCGCGCCCGGCCTATCTGGAGAGGCCTCGGGGTGCGGGGGGGTGGTCGACACAACAGGGGGCGCGAGGGGGGCACAGTGGGCGCGCGACGGGCGGCCGGCGGGGCCGGCGGAACCAGCGGGATTCCAGTTTAGGCCTCGGGGCCCGAGTCCGAGTCGTCCGAGGTCGAGATTTCACCCCACCGGGTCCCGGTAGTGCTGCTCGGTCTCTCTCTGACGGGATTTCCGTCCTCATCCATATACTTCATGGGTTTGGGGCCCTTGAGGGCCTTCTTGCGGCTCTTGGAGTCTTCATCTATCATAGTAGTTAGCGCTTTTTTCAAGGCATCGTCTGTGACCATTCCTTTAGCTAAGTTCAAATTTTTGGCATCAGTTGTCATCTCTGTTCTGACAAGTTTGAGGTGTTTTTTGATGCTTCTGTTGTGCGCTGATACATGATTGTTGAAGTTGGTGCGCTGCTCCTCGAGGCGGCGTTTTAGTTCCGCGACTTGCGTGTTGAGTGCCACTTCGTTCGTGCTCTCTTTGGATGGGGTCCTGGCAACGAGCACCTTGGGTTTGCCTGCTTTCTGCTCAGTTCCGCTATTGCTTGTAAAGCCATTTTCTCGTTTGAATGCATCCAGCTCGCCTACAGGTTGAGGACGGGTTGCTTACTAGAATGGCGAACTAGTATGGCACCTCCCTTGGTCAGTGCCTCTATTTTTCGGTCGTATTCCTCAGGCCACCACTTGGGTTTTGCGTTGCCGCGGCCACCTGCACCTTTGTACAGGAGATAATACTTAAGTTCTTGGTCTGACATTTTTTGCACAGCATCTTGTGACACAACGTCGAAAGCGCCCTGCACTTGGCACTGAACGTTCCCCGACCCGACCGCCTTCACAATTGCCACACCATAACAAGCATGCATCGCGGTTCCGGGACGAGGCAGACGGTGCGGCCCTATGAGCAAACTAGAATCCATACTAGTACAGTGAACTAGTTTTACCAATCCCAAAGCCTCAAAGTGTAGAAGGTCCTCGCCAAACCAGTTTTTATTGTCTGAGATGCGTTCGCTAAGAACCTCCGTGCGCTTCGGTTCCTCTTCAACTGCAGCTGGTTGGTTCTCAGCTCCGTTGTCGTTTTCGCACCCAGGTAGTTCGTAATCGTCCTCTGGGGCTCGGCCTGCAGCTTCCGGCTCCGGTCCGTCGCTATCTTCTTCTTCAGCATTCTGTTGAGAAGCAAGGTAGACCTCTTTCAAATGTGCTTGTTCCTTACTGTGACGTCCCTTCGGGAAAGGAGGTGTTCGGCGACAAGGCCTAAGGAGAATAATTGAACTAGAGCTAGTATGGGTTAAAATAAAGGGGCGCGGGGCCTCTAAACCTTGTTTGGTCATGTCTAATCCGGCTGGGGCGTCCTTTATCAAGTGTTCGGGCAACTTTTTAGCGCGCCGTTTCTGCTTCTTCTTGGGCGCCATGAGCGCTTCAAGCTCTATTGCGTGCAATCCACGTCTTCTTTCTAGTTTTTTACTTGCTCTCAAGAAACTCTGGCGCGCGGACCTCCTAGCGCGCTCGCGCGCGCACGACGCGCCCTTGTAGCCGATGCAGACGTCGCAGCAGCAGCGGTTCGCAGCGAAGTTGACGGCCGCCCAAGAGTGGATGTCCCGAGCAGCTGCACAACTAGATCGCATTAGCTGGTACTAGCGATACATCTAGTCGCTGTATCTAGTAGAGGCCTCGTGCGATGGGAGCATGAGTTTTAGAGGCCTGCCGCTTACACTGGGCATCGAGCGCTGGCAAATAAAGGACGGTGCAGGGGCGGACAAGTACAGCCATAAAGACGTGAAGCATGCGCTCGCAGAAATGCTGCTACAGCGGCCCATCGGGCAGCTACTAGAAAGCAGCACACTAGTTAACCCCGAGTTGACTGGCTTCTTGGGATCATTCCGCTCCGGCTCATCATGTCGGACAGACTCAAGCGCGGAGACGATCGACGCCCGTGCGCTGGATACGATGCACAGAGCCTCGTTGCTCACCTCCATACTCGGAAGGATGAGCAACGAGAAGCTCAACTACGTCATCCAAGCTGCAATTGGAGCCACGTTCCTAGCTAAAGGCGTAGGAACATTAGCATGGGAGCTGCTGACACATCTAAAAGTAGTGCCAAGTAAAGCAACTATAGAAAAATTAATAGACTTAGTAGCCGAGAAGGTGAAGGCTGCCGGCGAGGAGCATACTAGTACGATAGCAGTTGCGGCCTTCGATAACTGGGAAAAATACCTACGTGCGCGAGGAAAAAATGAGCTGAAGCATTGGGTGAACTGGTTCTACTTCGCAGTGCCCAACTGCCGCATTCCCGCCGGTACGTGCCCCCCCACCCCACGCCAAGAGATGCGTAACCCCCCAAAACTAGAATGGCGAACTAGTACAATTAGCGCGTCCCGCCACAGGTGACACCATGACAAACACCAGCGCAGCGACAATTGCACTACGCCTGCTGACCGATAGAGAAGCTCATGAAGGAACCAGGGCCAAAGCCTGGCGCATAGCCATCGGACTACTCGAACTCGGACAATGTCCGATACTAAAACGGCCTGCGACAAAGCGACACACGCAACACAAGCCCATAATTGAGGAACCCCTCGTCGACACGACGACCAGCCAGACGGACCACGTGAAGAAGGTCATGGACGAAATAAAAAGAAAACTCGTCACTTGGGGAAAATTTGAGAAGGTGGTCGTCGCCGGTGACCAGCAGTCGTTCGGAAACATGGTACGTATACTAGTAGCCGAGCCCAGCAAGTACGCTTGGTGCATCCCTGTACCAGGCGACTGGCACGCCCTCGTGCACATGCTTATCCAGATCGACAGGGACTTTGGGAAGGACAGCAGTGGAAATATGACCGGCATAGCGAAATTTGCCCACGAAACGGCCGGAATTAAACCGCACATGGACACCGAGAACTTCGAAGTCGCCAACTACGGCGACTACCTGGAGCTCTACGACACCATCGCTGCTGCAGCACTGATTTATTTTAAGCAGATATTGAAGAGCCATCGGGTGCTCCTGCACAACCCAACGGCCCTCCGGGTGGTGATAGAAAAGAACAAAGGTGCGGAAAACTAGAACCCATACTAGAACCCATACTAGTATATCACTCACAGGCGCACGAACCCTCTTCCTGTTGTTGTACGAGGCCCTGCTGCCATGGAAGATGATGCAACAGGCAATCCGAACAGGGGAGGCCGCCACAATTAACAGCATGTGGCACTACAGCTTCGCCTGGTTTGCCTCGTCCTCGAAAATGCACTACAAGGAGCTAGCGGCGTTAAGTACGGGCCACTACCACTCGCTCTCTGTGGAAGCCCAACAACGCGTCAACGCAGTGCGGACAATTTCACTCACAGGCAACCCAGGATCGTGCGTCGCGCTGGACGCGAGAATGGAGAAGCTAAACCTGTCCGTTGCGGACCAAACGCGGAACAAACTGACACAATCCAACGCACGCAATCTAGTAAGCAACGCCTGCCACAGGGAAAACGCATTTCAATATTTGATTCCAGCGTTCCTCGACGAGTTCCCAATAGGATCAACGAGGAGGGAAAGCGCTGGGTCCCGTGTACGAGCAGAAGAGGTGCAGAGACTCGTCGGCGCGCTCAAGACGAAACTCGGGGCGACATACGACGATCTCGTCAATCGCCCGGCGTCCTTCCACGGCTTCGACCCGGACGCCCCAGTCAGGCGCCACAACAAATGGCGAGGAACCGAGCAAGCAAGGAAATACATCAGCGAACTGCTCGACAAGAACGGCATCCGCTAACGGCGACCGGAAAAGCGGGCCCCGAGGCCTAAACTGGAATCCCGCTGGTTCCGCCGGCCCCGCCGGCCGCCCGTCGCGCGCCCACTGTGCCCCCCTCGCGCCCCCTGTTGTGTCGACCACCCCCCCGCACCCCGAGGCCTCTCCAGATAGGCCGGGCGCGGTAACTGTGTCTCGCATCGTGGCTAGAAACTCCCATCACCCGGAGCCCTATACTGGAACTAGAACCGTTCTAGTTTGTTCTAGTAGGCCCCGGGGCTCCGCGGCCGCCCCCGGCGGCAAAACCTCGCCCAGAACCCCCCCCCTGCGCTGGAGGGGACCCCAAGGGACCCGAAACGACCCCGATAATTTTGGGTCGGCAGCTGGGGGCTTTACTCAGGCGCCGGGGGGGTGGGCGGGGCCCAAACTAGAACGCGTCGAGTTTCCCGCGTTCAAGGGGTTCTAGGTCGACCACGCGCGCGCGGGTCGACCGCCGAACTGAAATGTTGGCAAAATCTCAGGGGCAGCACGAGTATGTTCTGTGACATGCCACGTACGTCGGAGCTCTTACGTACACCCTAAGGGCTTCCGTAGGTCTTAGGTAATTCCGGTAATGCTCGGCACTAGGAACTCCACTCAGCCTAAGATTGTAAATTTAAGGTAATCTCGGCGAGCTCTTGAGATCCAGCTAAAAAAATACTAAGTAACATCCCTAGTCCGGGGGTCGGGCGACCGGCTAGAGTTCACTGGGCATGGTTTTCTGGTAATCTCGACGGTAATGGAAGCCCAACCGGGCGGCGGGAGGGTTATAAGGTTGGTCGCGGAAGGGCTCGACCCCATCTCCCTGCCAGGCCTTGAATTCGTCAGCCCTGATCAGCTTTTGGGCGCTGTATCTAGATCCATTGGGCTACATGAAGCCCTTTTGGTCAAAGCAAGGCAGTTGGCAGAGAACAAGCATAGCCAGAGGAGGCAGCTTTTCTAGGATACAACAGAAAAACTTCACAGGTAGCGTTGGCGACCCCCCGTCCAGAGAGGTTCCCCCAACGTTCCCCCAGCCGGGACGTTTCACCTGACTTGCGGTCAGGCATTTTCGCGCTACAGAGAGCGTTTAGCGCACAGGAGATGGTAACATTTCCCAACCACCTAGTACGACATGCTCGACTGCGACGGCGTCAAGATCCTCTACGTTGGCACTGAGGTGAATCCGGCGAACGGCTTGACCGCGGCGGAGGCGCCCGATCGGTTCGCCCGGACCATGGACGCCGTCACCGGCCGAGAGCCGCAGGGCAAGCCGGCTCAGCTGCGCAGCCGGAAGAACAACGCGCTGTGAGTGTGCAGGTCGGGTTCGAGACCAGGTTCGCGTGCTCACCCGACTCTCACCCAGCTCCCGGTCGTGGCCGGCCGCCACGCCCGACTCGCTGCGGGGGAGCAGAGAGGTTCCCCCAACGTTCCCCCAGCCCGGCGGGACGTTTCACCTGACTTGCGGTCAGGCATTTTCGCGCTACAGAGAGCGTTTAGCGCATAGGAGATGGTAACATTTCCCAACCACCTAGGAGGCGGTTCACTGCCGTCCTAGAGTAGGGGCGGACAATGAAGCGCGGACAGAAGATAATTACCTCAAATTCCGCCTGGGGTCTCTGAAACGCCTGAGACGCGTAGGTCGACTTCCCGGCCGTGTACACCCAAGATTTTTGGCTCGATCGACGTTCTCGGGACGGCAATCTTAGAGCGCTCGCGCGCAAAGCGCGCGATAAAATTTAAGCTGTCCTTGGAAATTTTTCGTCGTAAATGCGCTGGAAGCGACCTACGTGCGATCTCCACGAAAGGGGGAACGGACGCCTTCGGCTTGCTATCGCGCACAGCGCGAGAGAAAATTTGGGTCGCGTCGCCCAAAATGGCGCAAACACCCACTGGAGTGTCTTATCTACGCGTCGCCACGCGTCGTACGCGACGGTTTAGCGCGGGGTGCAGGTTGCCAAGGCGCGCTCCAGAGCCACTGGCGGATGGCGCGCGAAGCGCGAGAAAAATTTAGAGCGCGCCGCAAAAAATGACGCGAATGTGTCGCTTATTTCGACTGAATCCCTCTCGCGGGGGATTCTTTCGCCCCCGGCGGGAATCCCCCCCGCCTCCGGCGGGATTCCCCCCCGCCTCCGCGGGGGGCAGCCGCCTCCGGCGGCTTTCCCAGGCTTTCCCCGCTTCAGGGGAAATTGACTGCCCGAAATCGCGGTCCCCCCCTACCTAGAGGAGAGGTGCGTCAAGCGATTTTGTTGGCTCGAGATGTTGACTAAATTTGAGTCAAAAAGCAACCGGGTTAAGGGTCTGGCCTTCCACCCCCATCGACCATGGATATTGACGAGCTTGCATAACGGCGTCATCCAACTATGGGATTACCGGATGGGTACCTTGCTTGATCGGTTTGACGAACATGACGGTCCAGTGAGAGGTGTAGACTTTCATCAGGCACAACCTCTCATAGTAAGTGGCGGGGACGACTATCGCATCAAAGTCTGGGACTATAAGCTTCGTCGATGTTTGTTCACGTTGCTGGGACATCTGGATTACATCCGTACAGTCTGTTTTCATGGTGATTATCCCTGGCTTGTATCCGCTAGTGATGACCAGACCATTCGCATATGGAACTGGCAAAGCCGATCATGTGTCAGCGTGCTCACGGGACACAATCACTATGTGATGTGTGCGTCATTTCACACCAGAGATGATCTTATTGTGTCTGCCTCCTTGGATCAAACTGTCCGAGTTTGGGATATAACAGGACTCAGAAAAAAAAATGTTCGAGGAGCACCAACTTCTGGTGGGAATCCGGCTGGTATGGCCTTGCACGATTTAAGCGTTACAGGAGGCGCGGGAACCGCTAGCGTTGTATCGCGGGTGAATGCTGATCTCTTTGGTGGCAATGATGCTGTTGTTAAGTATGTCCTTGAAGGCCACGACCGAGGAGTGAACTGGGCATCATTCCATCCTACACTGCCTCTCATCATCAGCGGTGCAGATGATCGGCAGGTAAAGCTCTGGCGTATGAATGAAACTAAAGCTTGGGAGGTTGACACCATGCGTGGTCACACTAACAACGTTTCATGTGTTGTCTTCCATCCCAAACACGAACTCATTATTTCAAACTCGGAAGACAGATCTATTCGAGTCTGGGATATCTCGAAGCGATTAGGCGTTCAAACATTTCGCAGAGAAAATGACCGGTTTTGGATACTAGCTGCACACCCAGAACAAAATCTTCTAGCTGCAGGCCATGACTCTGGTATGATTGTCTTCAAACTGGAACGTGAACGTCCCGCCTACGCTTCGCACTCGGGTCGATTGTTTTACGTCAAGGATCGATATCTGCGGGTGTACGAATACAGTCCTTCGCGTGATGTGCCCGCCTTGTCTCTTCGCCGAGCTGGTTCAGGTAGTAGCATAGGCGGGAATCCTCGGTCTCTCGATCTCAATGTTTTCAATGCGTCAGAGGATAATATCTTGATGTTCTCTGAATCTGATGGGGGCACATATGAGTTGATGACATTTCAGGGAGAATCTTCCGCAACTCCGGGAGAGAGCACTGAAATAAAACGTGGCCAAGGTGTAGCTGCTGTCTTCATTGCTCGTAACCGAATTGCGGTCCTCGATAAGAATCGTCAGGTGCGCAATCACCATCATGATAATTCCAGCTATACTGTTCTCATAGATCATCATCAAAGACTTTGCAAATGAGAAAAGGAAGAGCTTAGCTCCGCCGAATCCTAGCACGGACCGAATGTTTTTTGCAGGCACATCAGGGCGACTGTTGCTCCGCTCGGATGATCGAATCACCTTATTTGAGCCACAGTCTCGCCGTGTCCTCGCAGAGTTGCAAAGTCCACGGGTCAAATATGTATTGTGGAATAAAGACTGCACTTATGTTGCGCTCGTCAGCAAACATGGTCGGTTACCTTACGCTAATCCCCCCTTCGCTATGGTTAATTGGATCCGTGGGCACAGGTATTACGATCGCATCCCGTGACATGGAGCAGCTTTGCAGCTTTACTGAATCAGTGCGTGTCAAAAGTGGTTCTTGGGACACTAATAATTGCATCTTTATCTACACAACTCTGAATCATATAAAGTACTGCTTGATTAATGGCGATACTGGTATAATTCGTACGCTAGATGTGCCTGTCTACATCACACGAGTCGCCAGCAATCAGCTGTTTTGTCTTGATCGCGAGTGTAAGACACGTGTTATTTCCATTGACACAACCGAGGCAGCCTTCAAACTAGCCCTTGAGGACAAAAATTACCCTGAAGTCATGCACATGGTCCGCAATTCTCGGCTTTGTGGAAAGGCCATAATTGGGTACCTTCAAGACAAGGGGTTCCCGGAAGTTGCACTCCATTTTGTTGATGATTTAAAGACCAGATTTAAGCTGGCATTAGCATGCGGTAACATTGAGATTGCTATGAACACAGCCTATGAAATGGGGGACGATCTCTCTTGGCATAGACTTGGGATTGAGGCCCTTCGTCAGGGTAACCACCAGGTAGTTGAGATGGCATACCAACGCACAAAAAATTTCGAGCGTCTTTCGTTCTTGTACCTTCTCACTGGCAACACCGAGAAACTCCGAAAGATGCTCAAAATCGCAGAGATGCGCCAGGATATAATGGCAAGATTCCACAACGCCTTATTCTTGGGTGATGTATTGGAGCGAGTCAAAGTGTTAGAAGACGCTGGCCAGGTGTCCTTGGCATATTTAACATCACTGACGCATGGACTCGTCGATGCAGAGGAAAGATTGAAATTGGGACTCCCTGAGGGGGTGATGCCAGCCATTCACGGAGATGCACATCTGATGCAGCCACCAACGCCAATCATCCACGCAGATAATTGGCCACTATTGAGTATCCCAAAGCAAACCCTCTATGAGAAGAAAGACGAACTATCCACCTACCATGATGATGCTGACTTGGAACCAGCTGGTAAAGGATGGGAAGCAGCAGAACTTGATCTTGAAGATTCTCCTGGAGAGCCCGTTGTCAGCACTGAAGATACTATTGGAAATGGTTGGGACGATGACTTGGACTTGGGAGATGAGTTTTCTGATGTGTCCTCAGCACAAAAAATCCCCTCAAACCTTGATGGCGAAGGTCGTAATGAGGGCTTGTTGGTACCAGCTACAGGAATTTTACCGACACGTTCATGGTGCAACAATTCATCTCATGCTGCAGACCACATTGCGGCAGGTTCTTTTGATAGTGCAATGCAGCTTCTGAATCGTCAAATTGCCGCTGCACATTTTTTGCCGATGAAATCATGCTTTATGCTCGTGTTTTCGAGCTCCTTGATGTCCATGCCTGGATTACCCTTGACCACTACGCTGCACATCCCACTCAGTCGCACTGCTAGCGGCACTCCAGGAGAAAATCTACCTGATGTCGCAATCACTATGGCGCATCTAATTCAATCTCTAAAACTCGCCTACAAGACATTTCAGAAAGGCGAATTCTCTCGTGTTCAAGCTATTTTCAGTACGATATTTAAGTCAATTCCTCTTGTCATTACTGAGACGAGAAGTGCATCGCACGAGGTGCGCAGTCCGTTTCGCATGGTTGTTTGACTTGCGTTCAAATAGGTGACAGAACTCCTTGATATCTGCAGAGAGTATACGACTGCTGTGAGAATAAAAAATACGAATGTGAACTCCAGCGGTCAGCGGCAAATGGAGCTGTCTGCATACTTCACTCATTGTAATTTGCAGCCGGGTCATCTGGCGCTTGCTTTGAGTTTAGCCATGACACAAGCTTATAAGGGGGGAAACTTCATAAACGCCGCTGCATTTGCACGCCGTCTTCTTGAGCTACCTGACTTGGTTGGGCAGAACGATATTCGTAGCAGGGCTCAATTGGTCATCAGGAATAGCGAGCAAAAGGCTCGAAACGAGCATGCGTTGAATTATGACGAACGCAACCCGTTTGATATTGAGTGCACTGATCTCCAACCTATTTATCGTGGATCGCCCTCCGCAAGCTGTCCCTACTGTAGATCAGTGCACTCAACAAAGATGAAAGGCTCCCTTTGTGTAACCTGCAATCTTGCTGTAATCGGTGTTGAGACTCTGGGATTGGTATCTCAGTCTCATAGTAAATAACAATGGGCCCCATGGAGGGCACGGCAGACTACAGTGAGAAACCCAACGGACCTGTACTTGCAACTCGCCTGCCGCCACTGCCTGCCACCCGAACGCGGGAAATGCGACGCGTTCTAGTTTGGACCCCGCCCGCCGACCCCGAATTGTCGGGGACGTTTCGGGCTCCCTGAGGTCTCGTTCGACGCAAGGGGGGGTCTGAGAACGCGGGGAATTCGAGGCTCTCTAGTTTGGGCCCCGCTTTTGGGCCCCGCCCGCTATAGCCGCCGGAGTAATTACGCCGGTAATTACGCCGGTAATTACCGGTAATGGAAATTACCGGCAATTACCGGCAATTACCCGGTGCCATAATTCGATACCGGGTTATCCGCGTACAGGCCGCGGTCCGCCAGTACACGTGGCTGACGATCCGAGCGTCGCGGCCCGTCGCGGTCGCGTTTCGCGTCGCGGTCGACGCGCGCCCGGGGCGAAACCGCGACCGAGCGGCTGCTCGTCGCGACGGGCGCGCCGGGCGACGGCCCCCGTGCCGTAGCGCGCCGCCGGCGTTGTCGCGTGGAAGCCACCTAAAAGAGAATTCGGTCGACACGCGGGTTTGCGGTGGTCCTGAGCTGGGGGAACCGGAAGCGGATGATCTTCACGAAGGCGGTGGGCTTCTCGAAGTTCGCCGCGGCTTCGTTGAGCTTCGGGCTGAAGATCGGGATTCCGTCCGCTAAAACGGTGTAATGCGGCTCGCGAGAACTTGCGTCATCGCGAAGTTGAGGTGGATGTCCGGGTCGTCACGGGCGGGTCGGAGACGCGGATGAGGGCCGTGCGCTGGCTGGAGCGCAGGGGGCGATGCCGGACCCGGGGTGGCCGGGGGCGTGTCGATCGGAGCGCCGGGGCTGGGCGAGCCGGGCCGATCTGCCGTCCTGTGATTGGGCGCGCGGGCTTAGGCGACTGTGCGAGTCGCGGGAGGTGGGCGTGGATGTGCGAGCAGGATGCGCAGGAGCGAGCTGAGTGGGCCTCAGCAACCCAGAATGACACGGCCCGGTGTGTTCGGCAGTGTGGATTAGAGTGCCCGGCCGCTGGCAGCGGACCGGGCCACTGCAAGGGGGCTGCCCCACCGCGTGGTGCAGCTAGCGATAGGTATCTTTGACCACGGTGAGGCCGGACTTGCCCCTGGGGACTATCCGTTGGGAGGCCGCTGACGGGGCTGGAGAGGCCGTTGGGGGGAAGTGGCCCCGGTGTCCTGTGGAGAGGCGGCCGTGGTGCGGGGGAGATATGAAAGGGCAAGTTCTAAAGCGGACGGCACGACCCCGGATTTCAATCAGTCCGGGCCATCAAGCCATGTACCGACATTTCGTAAAGTTTGTGCACGTTGGCGCAAGCACGCCTTTTAAGTGAACGGAATGCAATTCGAACGAGCAGCTCCATGTTCATTTCCACGAACCGGCGACGTCCCTTTTGCGGCCAGCGAAGATGCAGATGGCACCGTAGACCTCGCATGCCTCGATGCAATATTTTTCTTGCGGCATTTTCAAATTCTTAAAAAAATGGATAGGTCGGAGTTCTAGCGACACTTGTTGAAAGACTACTCGAAAATAAGCTACATCATCAAATCACTAAATTCCATGCTTTGAGACCGTCAGAACTCCCGTCTTCGTCACTCATACTGCGTTTGATATTTGTTCCGCATGCGCGCAGGCCCCAGATAACTATCAAAGCATATCTTGAGCGAATTGAGAAATATGCTAACTGTTCGCCGAGCTGTTTTGTCGTATCTTTGATATATATTGACCGGCTTTGCCAGCACTCTTTCATGACTCTATCCCTACTTAACGTTCACAGAATTCTCATAACAGCAGTATGCGTGAGTTGACGACAGGCGAAAGATTTGATAAAAAATCAAACCCTCAGGTCGCAGCAAAGTTTCTTGACGACTCATATTACCCGAACTTGTTCTACTCACAACTTGGTGGGATTCCGCTCAAAGAACTAAATAATCTAGAGGTAGCAATCTCAATACCAAAATTACAATCTATGAGTTTCCACACACAGGTTGAGTTTCTTTTCGGGATTAATTTCACATTGCACGTCTCACCGCATGAATACCGCCGTTACTATTCTGGTCTCAATCCCCAATCCCCTGGCATTATGTAACTTCTATCATTTGCAAGAGCTTGTCGTGCGTGGAGGAATGCCGTGTGCTTTTACTTGAACGGTTGCAAAAATGGTAAAAGGAATGGCTCAGTCGGATTTTGGAGCCATGCGATTTTCCGGCTCTCTATTTTTGTTGCAAAGGTATGAGAACTCGTCGCTACCAGTAGGTCCCGATCCGACTATGTAAAGTGCAGCAGTCGCCTCAATGCAGGAATAGAGGAGCCGACGCTCCCAGGAGGGCGCGCCCGGGCCAGCGCGACACAGTGACCACAGAACAGGGCACAATTCAGGCGCCGCCTGGAAATGTAGTAGCACTGGCAGCGGGCGCGGGGCGCTGGCGCGGGGGGGTTGAAAACCCCAAGTGCCAGGGACGCGATCCGACCACAAGTAGCGACATAAAGGCGCGCTACTTTTAATTGTTTTTTCTGCTGGCCGAAGGCCAGCCCTCCTGAGACTTCATGCTGGCCCAAGGCCGGCCGATTTTTTTTGCTATGTTTCGGTGGCTGGTCTTCAAAACAAGGGTTTTTGTTGGTATTTTTATTGATTTATTTTGCGGCCGAGGCGGCAGGCGCGCTACTTTTTATTTTAGATCTCGTCCCTGCCAAGTGCCCCCCCTTCCCCCCCGCGCCGCTGGACACGAGAAACCCAACGGGACTTAGTTTGCGACTAAATGTTCGGTGTCTTCATGTCCATTTCCCGCTGGCAGTAGGCGCGCTTTCTTTTTCGCCAGTTTTTCCTATCTCCCTGCCGAGGCGGTCTGTGACCATGGCTGCCACTGCCACAGGGTGTGCGGCGCAGCGCTCCGAGGGGGCGCGCACCTTGATCTTGCCGTCGTTCTCCGTCCGGTCGTGCAGGCACTTGGTGTACTCGCCCTGGGTGAACTTCCGGCTGACGTGCGCCCAGTCGCGGCGAGGCAGAGCTCGAGCTCTCTGAGAAATGCAGAGCTCTCATTGGTCAGACGTATCTCACTGCAAGTAATTCATTGCTACAGAGCGGTGGCCGCACGATCTATGCTTCACGGGGGAAGAAAACGAGAGCACTTCGCCGTAGGAACTCGGGGTCGGAGACCTCGAAACTCCAGTCCGTGTCGCGGGCGAACACGCAGAAGCCGAGATCACTCTTGCCCGCCCCCCTCGCGTCACGCGTCGCGCCCCCACAGGGCCGCTCAGCTTCTGCAGCCCCTCGGATGACATGGAGTGTTTTTTCGAGACCGCCGACCCCGGGTTTCTACTGCGAACTACCCTCACTTTCTCCCCCGAAGACCCGGAACATGCCGAACCCAGCATCAGCGATCGTTGACGGCCATGCTGATAGCAGTAGCTCGCCTACCAGTCGTTGATCTCATTATAGTGAAGTTATTCTCATCGAGTCAGGGGTTGAATTCATCGATCTTCACTAGGCTTTACCACAGTGAGCTCTAGTTTTATTACACTAAGCTTAAGCTTTTTAAAATATTATGCCGCCCGCAACAGCCCGTCACGTAGTACACGCAACGCACAGCAGGGTTAGGATCGACATGAGTTCGTGGGGCGGCGGCGGGTGCGAAGTGGGGTCGCCGAGTGGGGCCCCTTCCGGGCCGCCGCGAGCAGAGGAGAGACCGAGGCAAAAGGTTGCTAGGCACAACCTACTTTTGAAAATCTCAGGATTGCTTTTGAAAACCCGGAGGACTTTTGAAATTCGGCGGGTCGGAAGTCGGCTAGAGAGCGAAAGATGCAGACTGGGCTGGTGACAAAGTAAACAGGAAATCAACATCTGGAGTGATGCTCCAACTATCCGGAGCCGCAAGGAGCGGAGTGCATATAGAAAATAGTTATATTATGGGAAAATTAAAGTCAGTCGGACATTCCAGCGATTTCATTGGTCGAGGACAGAAGGTAACACGTATTCTTTGTCCGACGCCACACGCTGCGGTACCTGGAGGTATTTTTGTGAATGGGTGGCCTCGGGACGCCGCCAGGTGCCCGGGACGCCGCCAGGTGCCCTTCATCGCAATTTTGAAGAAAATGGTGCGTCTCGGACAAAAGATCGCTACTCTGGTTTTCATAGCTTGGCTATTTTCTATATGGTAGGCTCCTTAGGTAGCTGGCTTATCGCCAAGCGCACTTTGATTGTGCTTAATCACACGAGTTAGGAATCTGACTCGACGGGTCTCGCTAGTTAAACGCTCGTTTCGCTAGTTAAATGCGCCGCCGCGACGCCGACTGCAGCATGCCGACAAGGGCAGCGAGGAGCCAAGTTGCCGGCAAGGACGCCCGAGCCGCAGGCCCCGGGCGCCTATTTCTAAAAGGTCGCACCTTTCAGGTCGCGTCTGACGTCAGCACAGGACTGGCGAGGTCCCAGGGCGCCCAACTCTAAAAGGTCGCACCTTTCAGGTCGCGAGGTGACGTCAGATCGCGAAACCGCGTCGGCCGGCCGATCTGCCGGGCGCACCTACTTCTAAAAGGTCGCACCTTTCAGGTCGCGTCTGACGTCAGCAGCCACTCGATAGCGAGGGCCCGGCACGCCTAAAACTAGAAGGTCCCACCTTTCAGGTCGCGATCTGACGTCAGAAAGTCGTCGAACCCGACCGGTGACCTAGTTCTAAAAGGTCGCAACTTTCAGGTCGCACCTAAAAGGTCGACTCGGTCTCGCTAGTTAAACCTGGCGAGACGAACGATTGCCAACCCGTGCGCACGCGGTCCGTCGACACGAACGAGATTCGCAGGTCGGAGCGCGGCGGCAGGCGCGCAGAAATGGACGAAGGCAGCCCGATGGGAGCGGCGGTGTGCACCAAAATCGACTTCAAGTTTAACTTCAATAAAATACTGGGCAGCGTAGATCTGGGCAGCGCTAACATCCGTCGGGTGGTTCTCTAACCACCTAACCCCCCCACCCCCCCACCCTAACCCAAAGCTGGCGGTGCGTTAACATGCGTCGGGTGGGAGTAGTAACATACTGCTGACTGCCGGAGGCCAAACCGAAGCGCTTTATGAAGTCAAGTTGAAGTTAATTTTCGGCACAGCTCGTCCATCGGGCTGCCGATCGTCCAGCGGCTGTATGTCCTGCCGCCGCGCTCGGACCTGCGAATCTCGTTCGCGTCGACGGGCCGCCGTGCTGGCGAGCTGGCAATCGTTCGTCTCGCCAGGTCTAACTAGCGAGACCGAGTCGACCTTTTAGGTGCGACCTAAAAGGTGCGACCTTTTAGAACTAGGTCACCGGTCGGGTTCGACGATTTTCTGACGTCAGATCGCGACCTTTCAGGTCACCTGTCAGGTGCCTACCTAGACGTCGGCGGCGTCCAGCTAGAGGCTCTCGGGACCTTTCAGGTCCTGTCTGGTGTCGGGCGAGACGCCCCCTCGGACCTACCAGGTCGCGCCGCGTCTCCTGAAAGGTCGCGTCACGACCTAAAAGAACGGCGACTCGAAAGGTCGGTTTCGTCAGATCGGCAGCGACCTGAAAGGTCGGCGACTAAAAAGGTTTCGCCAGGCAGGCCCGGGGACGGCTCCTTGAGGGCAGGTTGCCCCGCTGCAAGAAGCCCGTGCGGCCTTCAAGATGCCGCATTACGACCGGCCCCACCTACCAGAACAAACGCGTTTAACTAGCGAGACCCGGCGAGTCAGATTCCTAAATGAATCACACTCGCGTTCTAAGGGCGATATTCGCCGCTTTATCAGAGCGGGGCCCCAGGGGACCCACAACGCCCCCAGACAACAGTACGCCGGCGGCTGCGGGCTTTTTATCGAGGCCTGGGCCCGGATTGGGCTGAAACCAGACCGCGTCGAATTTCCTGTGGGCGAGGTGCAACTCAGAGGCGCTTTAGTTCACGTCGCTGCGGCTCGAGGGCCGCAGCTGGTGTAGCAGCATCGTGGAACTCTCGTGAGTGGCATCGGCGGTGAGCTTGTTTGAGCTTGAGAGCTCGAACGAGTCGATTCTCAGCACTCGTTTAGTTGAGCCTTCACAAGCGAAACGAGAATTATGCGGTGTACTCTGACTGAATGCTAGTCTGGATTCAACATCATCTGCTTGGGGCGCGATGAAGAAAGTCTGGGCACTGCTCGGGCTAGCCTCTGGGGCTGCAGAGGCAAGTTTGGCAGCGGGCAAGACATGACATTGCAAAATACAGATTGCAAGAGCGTGGGCTGGTAACAATCTTCGGTATATGTGACCACAAGGTGAAGCTCTCCAAAGACCTCGGGAATCGCCAATGGCGCCGATGCAGTTGTATCAGGCCTACTCACTGAGCCCAGAAGTACCCAAGTATCCACTCGACGTTCGGGCTGAGTGCGAAATTGTTCCATGTTCATAGTGGCTATCGAGTGTTTCCATAACATACCGCCAGCTCTCAACACAACGATGAACTCGAGCGTCTCACACATTTCATTGTCCCATAACTCAATAACAGATTCCCAGCGTGGGTTCTCAACTTCATTGGCAATATGGGTCATTTTCGATTGCGAGCCATGATGGACGGCCACGAAAGAAGATAATGCTGGAATGGGAGTTTGAAGCCATTTCCGACCCTTGACGTAGACTGGCTCGAGTGAGCGGGCTTCGATGATTTTCACGGTCAGCATAGACTGACAGATACTGTATGACAGCGAAAGCCGGCCTACGCTAACTAGATTTTACTTGACTTTCCCTTGCTATACTATCGGTCTATCTAGCTACCATGCGCACTCCGACTTCGGTGTCGCGAGGTGTTAAATAAGAGGGGGGATATATTCCCGTATCTTCAACACTCAGCATTGTACGTTTCCTTTGTTGACCTTCACCTTGTACTTCAATATGCTTTCTTTATCTCAGTAGCCTACTGCCAGTGAGCCGGTAATCTCGGGTCCCGGCTACATCGCACCCTTACTTGGGGTTGTTGCTGTCCTGAGTAACTTTCTTCCAGCTCCAGACACTGTCAAACACCGCTTTTTTTTTTTTTTTTTTCCAGGAGCTGCGCGCGCGGGGAAGATGGCCGAGTTTGAAGGGACCGCGCCGAACTTAAGGGATCGCCAATAAAGGGGCGCCGACGACGGCGGGAAACATGCGAAGTTGAGGTTTTGTGTTCCGGAACCGTGTTCCGCTAAATTCGAGGGCGTGCGTCCGGAACAGCGTCTGGGGGCTGCGCCGGTACGCCGGAACGGCCGGGAGCGCCCGGAGTCGCGCGCTCCGGAACACAGCCTCCTGCCGGCGCACGCGCGCGGCGCGCGCCCGAACATGTCGGGCGAGCTCGTGCTGTCGGATTCGATCTCTGCGGCTGCGGTGTGCGCGTCCCCATTCGATTTTGGCAGCCCCGTATATATTGCCGTTACAGTTTGACACATCGAACGATATTGACCCCCTTGTGCTGTTTTCTGTCCGATTGTAGGTTCGAATACCCACGCGCGCGTCGTCGTCGTCGTCGTCGCCGTCGTCGTCGTCGCCGGCGGCGGCGGCGGCGGCGGCGGCGGCGGCGATGCTGCTACTACCCTAGATAAATCAGGCGCACTTGTTGTGCAATGACGACAACCTGACCTCGCCTCAGGGAAATTCCTGTTTTTGCAACCTAGGGCGCCATGCGTAATTTGCCTGGCCTGATGCCCAGGTCTCTGGGGGCTGATGCTCGACGCCCAGGTCTGAATGAAGTCCCTGTCTCACGACGCGCACTAAGCGTGCCGTGAACGGGCAGTTGAGAAGACAAATCCGGCCGGAGATCTACCGGAACACCGGAGCGCGCCGGAACACGCCGGAACACGACCGGAGGACGCGAACCGGAACATGCGACCGAGGGGCCCGGGAGAGCCGGAAGCCGGAACATCCGCGAGACCTCTACCGGAACATCAGGGCCGGAACATCAGCGCATTTGGTGTTTGACAGTGGCTCCAGACAACTCCACTCACGTTACCAACGCAAAACGCAAACGTCCATGTCTGGTGTATAGCACCAGACACTGCCAATAGCCAGGCCGATGTCAATCAGCCCTTTCTATTGAACTAAGGGAGAGGAAGGAGCCCGGGGGCCTAGAGGTAGTAAGCCTGGCGGCCCTGTGATTGTATCGCTGTACACCCGCATACCACCGGCATACGACCAGCATAGCAGGTGCATACCACCCGCATAAAACCCGCATAAAACCCGCATAAAACCCGCATAAACCCGCATAGTAGGCGCATACTACCAGGCATACCGGCGGTCAGTCCCCTCGGTAAGGGCCCGGGCCGTCTCGCCTCGCCGCGGCGCAGCCGAGACACAATATTGCGCGAGCTGTCGCTTAACATGGTTATTAAAAAACGCTCGTGTCTTGAATCTGGTACCGACGATGGTTTCGATACTGATTATGATGCTACCCAAGAGCCAAACAAACGCCATAAAACAGCAATTGAACAAGAGATTGAAGAAGCCGAGGAGTATGAACGGCGCAAAGAGACAGAGCAACGCCGTGCTCGACCGTGTCTTCGATTGCATGCATTGAGCAAATCTGATACGAGCACGTAACAGGGGCACAGCAGCTTAAATTATTGTCGCTGGAACACCAGCATCGTCGAAATAAGGCACCAGAGACTTCTGAATCCGACAAGTTCTTCCCGTTGTCGACTTGATAATTGATATTTTTACATTAGTGTACGCAGGCGTTCAAGGGCGAGAGCGAGGCACCAACTCAGTTCCGCATCCTTGTCCTATTCGAGTTCATGTAGGCTAGCCTTGGAGCGATCATCAAAGACAGATCAAGGATTCGAGCCAGATGGAGAGAGTGTTTCTCCAAACAAAGATTCGGCTGAAGAGATGCGTATAGATCCACTAAGAACGAAGAGGAACGTGAAGTTGGTACGGTACCGTGTCAACTGAATATCGCATGAGCATCATGTGATTTTGAGATGTCCCAGATGACTGCGTGTGCTGAATCTGGTGAGAGGGAGGATCTACCAGCTACCGCGAGTGATGATGATGACGCACCACACGTTGCATGTAGCGCGCTGGGTAAGCTACGCCTTCCGCGCAGCTTACTTGAAAAATGGGTGGAAGAGCCATTCTTTGAAAAGGCTGTTGTTGGCTGCTTTGTTCGCCTGGGTGTGGGTAAAATACCGGCATCTCCTAGTCATTCTCTTTGTGGTTTATAGTTCGCTCTTCAATTGAATGCTAATACACGCCATTACTTACTTTCCCAGGCAAAGCACCAGGTGCACGTGGCGAACCTCAGTACAAGGTGATGAAATACAAAGTTTGTTAGTGCGAATTTCATCGCATCAATCTCTCAGGTATGTGAAATAATCAGTGTGGATGAGTATAAGCACGCCTATCCTTTTGGAGAGTTTGAGACGCGGAAGGCATTGATGCTTCGCATTGGTCGAAACCAACGCCTTTGGCGAATGAGTGTTATCTCCAACCACAGGTGCTCGATGCATCTCGCAAGATATGTGGACCATTCACTTTGATATATTGTAGGTTTACGGACGCAGAGTTACAGGAGTATTCTTGGACTGTGCACTTGACGAATTAATCTCCTACACCTTGTAATAAGATATTCGTACCTAGGTGGCAAAGTATCATGCGCACTGAGCGTCAAAAAATACCTTCAGTGATAGAGATAAATAGACGTAAAGCTCAAATGCGCAAGGCAGTCTTTGGAGTTAGAAGTGGACCTCAGCGCACAGATTTAGATCGAGATGAGGTCCAAGAAATGGCAAGTCTGAGCAATGATGTTCACTGGGTTGTTGCGTCAGAGAGCACGGCTGCATACTCAGAGATGGATGTGGCAAAAATTGTGGATGCACGGCGGAAGCGAAACGAGGCGGTAACAATAACAGCTTGATTTCTGTCAGATTTGAACATTTCGAGTGTAGGCGCGATTCCGTGATAGGCATGTAGGAACTGTCGCTCGACTGAATCATGGACAAACTCGCACGCGATATGAACATGAGGTTTATAGTGCACGCGATGCTTATGCTTCCCTTCTTGTTTCGCATGGCAACAAACTTGAAATCACACCTGAATTAGAAGCCGCTATACAGAAGGTTCTAGGCAAACAGCGTCTCGTACGGTAATATTGAAACATTAGTGTTGTAAATTAGGTTGAGTGTGCAGAAACGTGGCAGCGCGCTGACAACGATGGTTTTGAGCGCGATCTTGACGTTCTGGCATCGATGCTCCTTGAGTCAAGGCGAAACCAACTGCCTGGGACTGCTAATGGAGAGACGGAAGACTGTCGCATCGCGCGCAAATTGTACCGTCAAAGAGCGGTGCCTCTCGTTGATAGCCCTTCTTCTTCGCGCAGCCTTGCGTGATCTTGTGTGTACGTTTAGGAGAGACTCGTCAAAGGCTTGTCGACTTTCAGAAAAATGCGCAAGATATGCGGAAGAAGCTTGACATTGATGCACCTTCTCGGACCTCAACGCTCCATGCAATTAACGAGGCCAAAAAACACGAAAACGCACTTGCTGACATGGCATACGGAGAAAAGAAAATCCGAGACGAGTCTTTACCAGCCAGCGCCTCGTCAGACTACAATCAGCGATGTAAAATGGATTAGGCATGATCGTGATGCAGATGTTGACCACTCAATATTTCAACGCCGGGCGACAAAGCCAACAATGTTGTGGACCACCAAGAAGAAACATAGCATTAGTTCGTCAACTATCACCGACCAACCTGAGACTGAAGCGTCTGCCATAGAGAATACTACGTACAAACAGCTTACAGTTTCGGAGTCGGTCTCCAATCCAAGTACCCAGATAGAAATCTCCACCGAGGATGAAGGTTCACAGCGACTGAGTGACCAGTCACGCATGCAGCGCCAACGCAATGGGATGTCTCTTCACGAGTACCTTTCCAAAGCACGCGCTACCACTAAGTAGCCTTTGGAGAAAACTCGCGAGAGAGTGCTCCAGCTCAAGGCAGGTGATAAATGAGTACTTATAGAATCTATTTTCCGATGGTGAGTTGGTTTCCCGCGTATTTCTCAGTCTGACTGCATTAAGGATTTGGACGTGCTTGATACATACACGAGATTAAGAGTAAGGTTGGGTGGATTCCAAGTGGGTTCCTGTATACTTGTTGGGAGAAGTTAGCCCGGGGTTTGAGCAATGAGTCCACGTCAGCATGCGGAAGCTATTGGTCGGATTCTGGTTGCTTCGGAATGCGGGAAATTGGACGAGGCCCAGTTAGGGCAGGACGCGGGATTTTAAGTACCCCCTGCGCGCGCCGCTTGCGCGCGCCAACTTGTCTCCGGGGAGGAGTCAGCGGGCTGCATTGTAACATACCCCGCCTCAAACCTCGCACTTCAACAAAGACCTTAGTGTAAAGAAAGGCCCGGCACTCGACCTCGGCGCCGGCCGTAGCGCGTGACGACGAGTAGCCCAATCGCGCGAACGCGGCGAGGCCGCTCCTTACCCGACGCGTCGCGCGTGGGGAAAGGACCGGAGGGCTAAGACTCGGTGGAAGTCGGCGCAGTGATGGCGGCCGCGCGCGCGCGCAGTGGCCGCGGTGTGCTCGAATCGATCTGTGATGCGCATCTCGACCTTGGCGGTCGCATTCTTGCGTCCGATCTGGTCCATGGGTCCGTCCGACCTGCCTGGAGGCCCCAGCACTGACGTGAGCAGCCCCTTGGCCAACCAGGTACACTCGATGACGCTGTGCGCCATGCCAGTCGTTCGAGGCCGCCCCGCGAATGGCTCCGGTCACGGCGCGGTCCATGGCGCGGCGCTGTGCTCGCCGACATACTAGAGCGTGGTACTTGCCGCTCGGCTGCGCGTGGTGCCACCCTGGGGCTGCCGCAGAGGCACTGGAAGCTGTGCCGCCACTGGGAATCGCCGCTCCGACGCCCAAGCGTTCGACGACACAGCCAATTCCCGCGAGCAGAGCACCTCCGGAGTCACCCATGGGTACGAGGTGTCAACCGCCGCCACCTAGGCCCCAGGCGTCGCGCTCCACGACCAGCTCGGCGCGAGGGGCTGCCTCTCGGAGGACGAGCGCCGGCGCCGAGTCGAGTGCAACATCAGCTCGAGTTCGAATCGACCAATGGGAAGCTCGCACTCGCGCGCGCGCGGCGACGCCATGGCCTCGATTCCGAGCCGACCAACTCGGCGCATGACCCCAGCAGCCCCCACGGACTACCCTACGAGTCCGCTGGCCGAATCCGCGCGATTGGGGCGTCGCGGAAGGCGACCCCCGGACGCGGGTGCCGGCCCTGTGTGTAAAGGGAATAAAGCCTTCACTGTATACTAGAAAGGTAGATATTTACACTGCCCTACCAACCGGTGGGGATCTAGTAACACTAAGCTGTGAGCTGCAATCGCGCTCCCAGGCTCCTCGGTCACTAAGAGTGTGCAAGAGAAAGAAAGGAGAGGATACCGCTTCCGCGTATCCTCGTACAAAAGATACAAGTGAGCAACTAAGCTAGCATATATCCACTGCACTATGAACCTCAAGCTAATAAGAGAAGTATACCTTGAAGGGACAATTCCCGCTACAGGCCCCCAAACTTGATTCATACCGTCCTCGGTATAGCAGAGCTTAACGAACCAATGGTTTAGATACCTTGAGCCGCAAAGAATATCTCAAATGTGCAAGAAAAATCATAACATAGCGAATAACACCAACCAAATCACTCTCCAAAAGTGATATCAACTAGAACAGCAATAGGGTAAAAAGAAGGATTCATTCCTCATCGTCATCATCACGATCACGTAAATTATTGAGGTAACGCTCCACCTTCTGGCACATGGTAGAAGTGAGATTGGCTTCATCACCTCTATAAAACTTGAGAAGAGCAATGACTGCACTCAATACGTTGTGTAAGTGAAGAGAGCGGGCCATGTATCTTCCATAATCGACTCGTCCAGATCGGACATCTTTCCATGGCTCTCTCCTATATTTGTACAAGTTTTTATCGTTTTGATCCCTTATGCCAAGAAGTTGATCTTGAATCATCTTGAGTGCAACTGTCGCTGTCTTTCCTAACTCGTAGACCATGAACTTGGTGTAGAAGAGTCCGCCTGTTCGACCACCTTCAGTTTGGTATTGAGGGTTATCTCTGAGGTAAGTTACAGCTCTCTCACCGGCCAGTGCTATTATTATTGTACTAGAACCGACCTTATATCCTAGGGAATTGGTAGCGCCGATGATAGAAGAAGAATTGGACCTCACCAATTCATGGGGTGAGCAAACCCATACTCTCGAGCGTGTGCTCAAGGCCCTGATATTAGACTTGAACCGAATCCATGAGCGTGTAGATGTTTTACAAAAAAACCACGGTCCTAAAATAGATGCGATAAAATGCGGTCTTGATGTTCTTGCAGCGAATGTTCAGGGCTTCCAAACGCAGGAGGAAGGCATCAAATCACAATGTCGCGAGCGTGCGATTCTGCCAGATGCACGCCCAAAGAATGAAAAAATAGCACCCATTCGACTGCCAGCTGCAGGCGAGTGCAGAGAGCCACCCGCGAAAGTGGTTATGGGTAGCGCGCCTCAGCTTCAGATTGGTAATAAACACCCAGTTTTGGCCCAGAGACAAGGAGGGCATTATCCATTGGGTGCAACGCGTCTTAAGGCACGGCAGAGATGGCGATGGGCTCTTATGAAGATTCGGATGCAGATGATACGGGGGCGGATACCAATGACATCGGTCGTCATCGGGAGAAAAAATTCCATTGCAGTCCGTCTTAGACAGGTGGAAGACCTGGTGGACAACACAGACTACAAAATCCGATTCATCTCAACTCACGCTGGTCCTGAAAAAGTGAAGAAGCTACTGCAAGCAACAACCTGGCTGGAGGAAGCTTTCGTTGGAGGTTTGAGTCAGGAGCCATCAAATTTTTCCGGGGTGTTGAGTCGGTTGGCACATGTGGAGCGCAAATGTGACACTGTATGTCATCTTGCGACCGCGGTCGATGCTCGTGGTCAAGCACTCTCTGGTGAGTTGAAGGGAATTCAAGAACATCTGGTGGAGGTTGCTAGACACGCAGCGTGTGCATTCAAGGATGCAACATACCTGCGTTCTAAAACTGAGAAGACTGAAAAGGCCATTAAGAACGCTCTTCCTCGTGCCCGTAGAGAGGCGGTGGGGCTCATGCGTGCGCTCCGGAACACGTGTTTTGCTGCAATGAGATCGCGCGATATAGCTGTCTTGCCTGGGAGTAATAAGCTTATGCAGGGGTGGTTAGCACCCATGTACCACCAGCTTGAGCGCGCTAAAGAATCTCTCCAGATTCCATCGTCAGGGTATGAGATAGACCAGGAAAGTTCTGTCAACTTGAGCCAATGGCGAGTCAATGCCCTCGCGATGGCTCGCTATCTACACGTGAAATTACGGGATGATGAACGCATCCAGGAACACTTAAATGTGTCAACACTGAAGGACGTGCCTATCGACATTGTTGGCGATCAGGCTTACAATGTTGAGAAAGCTGCTGATGTGGGATTCATAATTGAAGTCGTGGACAAAATCACGCATGCCCGCGAGCTCGCAGCAGCCAGTGTCCTCCCATTATTTTAGTGTATGCCAGATATATTTTTTTGATAGGCGGAAGCTTGTTTGCGATCCCTCGTTGATGCTTTAGCTATGGATCACGATGAATATTCAATGCGTCCCGGGACGATCGCTCTGCAACTTTGGTGTCTTGGGCCTCAAGGCCCAGACGGAGGAAAAATGCGTTCTCACTTTGATGCGCTTGATGCCGGGGTAGTCGCAGCACAGGCAGCCTTGTCGTTCGCACCTGAGTTATCGTTTGTGGAGGAACTGGCCAGTCGCATTGGGGCTGTCGAAATGACGGAGACCAATCGCCGACTCGAGCACGATACCCCTGATGGTACCGTCATTGACGCAGCCACAGCGAAACGGACACGCGATGATATCGAACACTTCCGAATGGTGCTTGCGGAAAATTCACATTCGCTTGGTAGCCTTCGATCTGAACTACAAACCAAGGCAGGGCAAGTGGATACATCAAGTTCTCTAGAATTACTGCGACGCGAGATCGTTCGGCTCGATTCTTCGACCGTAGCCAAAACCCAACTAAATGCTGGTTTAGCCACAAAGTTGGATCGCCGAGATCTTGGGCGCATAGCAGCGATGATTGCTAATGGTGACCTTGATGGCATCAACACAGCTGTCTGACCCGGAGCTATCAATTTTAGGAATTCCAGGCAACTGCACATCACAGGTTGCTTCCAAACTGCAAAATCCCACCTTCCGCTGCCTCTGCTGTGATAAACCGCTGACCGTAGCCGCCAATACACACCTGCGCATTTTAAGTGAGGTGAGCACGCTCGTGAAAACAATGACAAAAGAAATCTGTACACATCTTGCAGGGGCGGATTCAAACACTTCCCAGTCTCGCGTCAGATCGCATGGCATCAGAGTTTGTGAGTTCTGTGTCCTGTGGTGAGACTAGTGACGCTGGGCTACGTGGAGTGAGCGCTGACGATGACTCGCTGGAGACAATGCTAACAACTAGACCAAAAACAATGGGAGGATCGACGGATGGGATTTCTTTGGCATCTGGGTGCGTTCTCCACTACTGCTAGCTTTGTATAGTCGCATGCGCAGGGCCACGTTCAGTCGATATCCAAGTCTGCTGCCAACGCGAAAGCCTGTGCGAGCAAGGCTGAAGGAAAAAAAAGGGCACATCAGTCAACTTTAAGCCGGAGCAGCTATACGCTTGCCCAGAGGGTGAATATCCAACAGTTCAAGCAAGTGGCATCCCAAGTGAGGAACCGCGACTGGTATGACAAACCACCATGCAGCCGCGTCGACGCACGCAGGCTCCACCATCCAGGAAGGGAAGCAGGCTCGGCTTCAAAATTAGTAAATACCCAAACAAAGCTTATCTCCATGCGCGCACGCCGATGCCCCAAGCTCACGAACGACAGAACTCTGCTCGCTTCCGTCCACTTGGCCTTTCGTATCTCCCACTAAGCCTGAGGCTAAAGGAAACAAGGTAAACTCCCCCCACGAGGGGAGGCTGGGCTCAATTGAATTCGATAATGCCAGAATGAAGACCGGCGGGCCGCGCTTGGATGGCGCAGCCACCTCAGCCACACTCTACCATGATGCTAGAGAGTTTTCTTTAGAGCATTAGCTTGAGTCACCGTCATTCCCCATAGTTTACATTACTTTGCTCCCTCACTATCGCGACGTCACACTATGGAGATGGCACTGCACTCCCCCGTAACGTTGACCTCAACGTTCCTCATCCGAGTCACCTTAGTTTGGGGTATTTCCCCTAGGTTATGGTTGCCCTTAGCCTATTACAGGCTGCTATATATATTAGAATGCAGACTTCATACGGAGCTTGGGAGATGCTTGGGCATTAGAAATAAATGTCCAATTTAATAATTTAATTATTTGGCAATGGACGCGCCTCTACGATCCCTGCGACTGCATTTTGGCTCGAGGGAGGGTGTGCGTTGGCACGATTTTGGAGAAGAGTGGTGAGATTAAGACTGCCAAGTTTCAGGTCTGAAGACCATGGGGTTGCGCGCGCGCGCCCATCGTCTAAAAGACCATAATGTGTGCGGTGTAGTGAGAGCGAGGGGTCGCATCGCCATGATCGTCGCGCGCGAGCCCCAAACTTTGTAGGCTTCATCTCTCATAAGGTTAAAGTGCTTGTGTGAGCTCTAGCTGTGTACCAGGCCAAAATGTAGTCCCGGTGATCGGTCCATCGCATGAAACGAATGCGTGTCACGGCAGCAATGCCATGACTGTATTCTGGGTCGCAGCTGTGCTACAGCTTACGGTAGCACTCTAATACACACATAGGTCGCGTCCACAAAGTTTGGGGCTCGCGCGCGACGATCATGGCGATGCGACCCCTCGCTCTCACTACACCGCACACATTATGGTCT